CATTGTTACTGTTAACATTACTGCTGTGTTCATTTTTATTACCCACCTATTAAAGTATTCATCAGGCCTGGGGATATAGCCCAGTTGGTAGAATGCTTGCCTTGCATGCACAAGGCCCTCACACACACAAATATATATTAATATCATTTCATATATTGCTAGGTATAATAATATTTTGGAGCTTCAAGTTTCATACCCAGTTTTCAATCTGATCTCCACACTCAGGTGGATTCACACGAATTTCCATATGTTTGAATTCATGGTCTTTCTTCCCCCTACCCCTTGACCCCAGTGTCACCTCCAGTGTTCCATGTCACCTCCAGTGTTCCATGTCTCAGTGACTAACACACTAGGTTTCTCAGAAACTAGAAACCTAATGTCTTTCTTTTTACTTTCTTTTTACTCCTCTGCTCATCATTGTTAATCAGTTATGAACTCCTGTTAGTTTACCTCCTGTGTTTAAATCAATTTTTTTCACATTTACCCATTACCACCAAAATTAGTTCTCTTGGGCTGCTTTGCTAACCTTATAAATTGTATTCTTGGAACTATCTACCTCCCTCCAGTTCATCCTCCATGAGTAATTAGAATTAACTTTTAAAAACATAATTCATATTATGTCACATTGCTGCCTTAAAACCTGTACCTGGCCAGGTGCATGCCTGTAATTCCAGCAGCTAAGGCAGGAGGATTGCAAGTTCAAAGCCAGCGTCAGCACCTTAGCAAGGCCCTAAGCAACTCAGCAAGACCCTGTCTCTAAATAAAATATCAAAAAGGGGCTGGACATGTGGCTTAGAAGTTGAGCATACCTGGGTTCAATTCCTGGAAATAAATAACCTATGCCTGCCTTACTATTGCTGTGGAAATAAAAGACTGAAATCCTTGGTGTGACGTATAAGACCCTATCTGTTCTGACCCCTGCTGCCTCATTTTATACCAGGCTCACTGGTCCTTCTGGTATTATTCTCACCTTCTCATAAAACTTGGTTGATCACATAATACTCTTCCTTTGGCTGTTTCCTCTGCCTGAAATGCATCCTCCTACACTTTTTACCACATGCCTATCCCATGGCTGAATCCATATTGACTCTTTAACTCATGCTAAATGTTGCAGACAGGTAATCCTAGCTACTGGGGAGGCTGAGGGAAACAGTTTAAAGCGAGCCCCTTTCCCAAAATGAAAATTAAAAATACCTGTGGATGTAGCTCAGTTGTATGGTGCTTGTGTACCACATATAATCCTAAACAGCACCCCCAACAAAAAAAAGTCTTCCACATACATATACAAAGTCAGGCCCCAGATTATATGTTAGCTCTGTTAATCGTTTCCTTTGGTCCATGAAGCTAAAAATTTTGTCCAAGTCACCAGTAGATTCTCAGTGTATTCCCATACACAGTATAGATTACCACATATTCTTACACATGGAAAATACAAGGAGGAAACACCTGTACCACATGCACCCCCTTTGTAATGATTCAATGTGGGTGATTCTCTGCCACTTATGAGAGAAGCATGTTTTGGTCCTTTTTTCCTTGGTAATAGGGTTTTGATCTTCAGTGGATGCTGTACTTGCTTTTTGCTCATATACACTTTATACTTGTTTATGCTCTGGGTTTATAGACATTAAATACATGAGATGTTTCATACAAGGATTATGTTAAAGTTACTAATAGAACTTGGAAAAATAAATTATGCTTTCATACCTTTAATTATAGAATATGAAACATTGAAGTAGCCTCTTCAACTGGCAATAAATCACATCAGCTTTTTTTAAGAATTTTTTTTAGATGTTGATGTACCTTTATTTATTTATTTATTTTTGATGCTGAGAATCGAACCCAGTGCCTCACACATGCTAGGCAAGCACTTTGCCACTGAGCCACAACTCCAGCCCTACATCAGCTTTTTTAATTTTGTAACTATTTTTAGTCTTGTGCAAACTCATAATATAGGTCTGCACATGTTTTCTGTCATATGCCAGATAGTAAAATTTTTAAGCATTCTAACTATATTATCCCTTTCATCTGTACTCCTTTGTCATTATAGCCCAAAAGTAGMCATTCATAATATCTAAATAAATAAGCAAGTGTATTTTGACAAAATGATATTTATGGACACTGAAATTTGACTTTACATAATTTTCATGTGTCAAGACATTGTCTCCTCTTTCTCACAACCCCAACATTAAAAAATGTAAAAGCTGCTTATTTTGTGGACAGTACAAAAACARATATGTCACCTCCATAATTGCTGAGTGTGTACTTAAATATCCTATCGTATACACAGTGAAAGTAGAAAGCATTGGATGGTGACTCATTTTTGCAGAAACAGTATGCTGCTATGTAAAGAAGAATTAACTTGAAATCGTACGAAGTATTTAAGTAACAGTTGCAAATGTCATTGGTATTTTACCTAGTAGGTAAACATTCTGTTTTTTAAAAAAGTAATTAATTCCTCCAGTATCTGGGCCCCACTTTAGACCAGTGCTTTAATATATAAATCTTCATTAAAATTGTCTCTCAGCTAGAATTTATAAAGGAAGTTCATTTCTTAGATATTGTTAGGAGTTGAATTTTTTTTTTGATACTGATTGCCCATTAGGAATGATTTTTACAAATATTAATTCCCAACTGTAGTGAATTTAATTGAATTTAATTGTATTCTCAATAATGTAGTTTAATTTCTTTATGTCAGTGAAAATGCTTATACCGTTGTTTGTGATGTTTTCAGTTATAGTATTAAGGTGTTTCCTGATTTTTATGAATTATTAATTAAATAAAATAGTTGATTATCTATGGTTTGGATATATAAGGACTGTTTATAGTTGAGTAACTTCATTAAGAGATCAGAGGTGATGGGATGGGAATATAGTTCAGTTGGTAGTGTGCTTGCCTTGCATATACAAGGACCTGGGTTCAATCCCCAGCAACACAAAAAAATAGAATAGGTGAGATTTGAGGGTTAACTAAAATTTGAGATTATACTAAATTAAAATTAATCCAGAATAAGGTTGTTTAAAAAATTGTATGTTAATATGTTGTCAGTTTTGGTACTGTCAGAGGTCTAGAGAATGTCAAAGTTGTAAAAAATTGAAAAAATGTAGGATCTTCAGTTTCTTTTCATTTTATAATTGAGGATACTTGAATAGTACTTCCCCAGGATATTCCTGGATTTGGAACTTTTTTTTAACCAAYACATTATCTCAGTCCTTTCTTATCACTCTTTATTGTACATAAATCCTTCCAAGGACTTTGCTAATTTAAAAATGTCTGTGTAGTTGTCTCTTTTATATGATTGAAGGGATTTTACATTGAAAAGTCCTTGGATCTAAACAAATTTATAGGTATAAGTAGCATTTTATTGTCTTTAACATTTCATCTGATCTATGGATGTCATTTTGTTGACTTTCATTTTGGTTTTTAAGTTCCCAGGCAACTGTGGAGTAGTTAATATTTTCTTCTTCTTTTAGGTCATTAACGCAGTTCACAAATCTTTCTGTCTTGGGAAATGTGGATAACTGTTAATTAACTGCWAAGTAACATGAACTTTCAGATCTGTTTTCAGCCAGTAGAATCATGTTTTTATTTTTAGCTATGAAGCCTTCCTAATTCTTTATTTAAAATAGTACAGGTTTTTTACCTCTTGAAATTAAGGATTCAGGGTATAGTGATCCTCACAGTACTATATATTTATTTATTTCTCCAGGATTCAAAATAAAAGAAATAACTGTTCATTTTTATATACATGGAATACTCTTAGTAGTCTTCATTTCGTAGTAATTATGGAATGTGAGCACTTTTAATGTCTAATGAATAGACAAAATTATAGCATTTTCCTCTTTATCTGCAATTCTATTCAGTTCACATTCATAGTCAAATATGAATTACATGTTGTACATTCTGAAAAAGCAGTGTTACCTCAGTGGTACCTATCATCGTGTATATTTCATTTATATTACCGTTTTAAGTCTTTTAATATTTTACTAATCCTCATTTTTTTTWAAACTGGCCCTAATCTAACCAGACTCTTCACGTCTTCATCTCCCTATCTCATTCCACCCCTACAAAAATCAATACAGAATTGGGCAGGAAGCTCTGCTCTGATATCGCCAGTTGAATTCAATGTAGATTAAATTACGAAAATATTGACCTTAGATCTCCGAGGAGAGACACTACTTTGTTTTGTGGCTTTTGTATAACCCTGAAATCCCGAAATATCTGGTTGGAATGTGATGCATTGTCCCTTCTTGTGTAGTTCTGTTCCCTCTAAGTTGCATAATGGCTGTAATTTTCTCAACCTACTTGCTTGGATTTTAATAGGCATCTTTCATTCCAGTACAATGGCCAAGTCAATATGAGAGATTCCTCATGATTCTGAAAAGCCACATATTTTACTTGGCTTTCTGATTCTGAAAAGATACCTAGAAAGTGAAATGCATATAGATGGTTTTCTAAGTTGCATTTCGTCTGTTTGATCACAAGGACATAAATGAACAGAAATCTCTACTCTTCCATTGACAACTGAGTGTTTTTAAACCCTTCATATTTTCATTTGTCCTGCTTTTGAAAGATGAACTACTTTACTAGGTAATTTTTTAAGTGAAATTGGCCAAATCCTTTTGGTCTTTGACTGGGAGGATTGTAAATTACTTCTCAAATGTGTCATCTTTTATTAGGTTGAAAAGTCAGCTTGTCCTTAGAAGGAACACTAGAAAATGAAATGTACTAATAATTGTTGTGTTGTCTTCTCTTAGTGTGATTAATAGTAATCATCTTTTTTCCTTCCCCCTTTCCTGCTGCCTCTTTCCTTCCCTTCCCTGTCTTCCCATGTACTTTTTGAATTTATTATAAATTGACCTATGTTTTTTTCTCACTTTTTTTTTTTTTTTTTAATAATTTTGTGACCTCCTGCTCTATCTTCCCCATTTGCTTGGGTCCCATGTTGCTAGTTTTTATGTTCGCATGCTCATTATCACCCTTTTTTGTACTTCAAATCCCAGCAGCTGCCCAGCCAAGTCCCTGAGCACAGCCCTGTGGTTTATGGGACTGTGGACAACGCTCATCTTGCTGCCAGCACCCCTGTCACTGCAGCTAGTGACCAGAAGCAAGGTTTGTGTATGACTATTTTCCTCCCTCTTACTTAATAGTCTCTTTTTTCTTAATTACATTGCCCTTAGCATTCAAAAGTAAAACATTTAGAACTATTTCATCACTCACTTTTAAACAAGTCTTTGAGATTGAAAATATTCTACTTCTGGGAAACTAAAGTAGGCATTATTAGTAAATTTTTTTTTTTTACATTTATTAATGCCTTACTGTCTTTATGTATAGATAAAAACTAAGATGCTTCAGACTTTTTTTAAAAAGCAAAAAACAAGAGTTGGAGGGRAGAGTAAATCAAAGAAAAACACAGATTGATTTATACATTCAACCTGTCTTTGTGTAATTTACTATTTTACAAAAGATGAATTGTTTCCCCTTGCAAGATTGGGCTGCTGTTACTCTCACCCTAATTAGAGAAATCATTGTTTAAATCCTGGCTCCATTGGGTACTAGCTAATTGGTCTTGATTGAGATCACTTATGCATCTCACTTTCTTGTAGAATAGGATGAAGGCATACCTCACAGAGTTGTGAGGACATGCCTAGCACATGAAAAGTGTTTAGTAAATTAACACCATTATTATTGATGTAGGATTGATGTAGGAATCATACTAAGTAAGGTCTTTCCCTGATTGACCTTGAAAACGAAGTGACAAATGTTTGTTGAAGTAAATACCATGCCTTTTGGAATAAAAATGGAAAACTTCAAGGGAAATCTTGTGCCCCAAACTGGATATCAAAGTCTTTCCTGCTTAGTTGGATTTTAGCCCTAACATAGCCAAAATTGGGAACTGATTCTCAGAAAGAATAGGGAGAAGAAAGTAATTGAGCATGCTTTCTARTGGTTTCTAACTTCATTCTAAGAATGGGTGGAAATAACATGTGTTACCTACTGGCTTTTTTTAAAATACTTTTTTAGAGATATAGATGGACACAATACCTTTATTTTATTTATTATTTTTATGTGGTGCTGAGCATCGAACCCAGTGCCTCACACCTGCCAGACCAGCGCTCTGCCACAACCCCAGCCCTATGTTACCTGCTTTCTTGAGTTATAAATTCCTAAAACAAGCCAGGCRTGGTGGCGTACTCCTGTAATCCCAGTGGCTAGGGAGGCTGAGATAGGAGGATCACGAGTTCAAAGTCATCCTCAGCAATGGTGAGATACTGAGCAACTCGGAAGACCCTGTCTCTAAAATACAAAATAGGGCTGGGGATGTGGCTCAGTGGGGTGAGTGCACCTGAGTTCAATCCCCTGTACAAAAAAAATATATAGAGAGAGAAGTAATTTCTATACATATGGGATGGATG